AATTAAATTTGAATTAATGATTAAATTTTCAAATGTAAATATTATCCAGCTAAATCAGAATATATTATAACAAATAATTTATTGTAGAATTATCATACAATAAATAAAAATTTATCAATTTAAAAAATCTTATTATGGATTTTTATATTTAGTAATATATAAAAAAGTACAATTATTTAATTATAACAAGTATTTTATTTTGATTTGTGTTCTATTTATAAATGATCATTATTTACAAATTGAAATAAAAAAGCAATTTGGTATAATTGCATAAGTTTTTTGGATATGTTATATATATATTTTTAGATAATTGATATGTATAGTTTAGTATTTGTAAAACAAAATAATCTTATTATAAATCTGATATTAATAGATCTATTGCTGATCTGAGATTATGGTAGATCTAAGATTTAGCAATATAGTATAGGATTAATTGCAGACATAAATAAAATGTGTAATATTGCTAGAACTTAAAACTGTCACAATTTCAAATCAAAAATTAAATTGATTTACTGATTATGAAATTTGAATTATATAATATGCAAATTTTAGATTTGTAATTGATTTTGCGAATCTTGTGTTATATCTGTTAATCTCAGATCAATAAATTTAATAAGTTACAATAATTCTTAAAAATAAATCATGAAATCTATAAGTAATTAATCCAAAATAATGAGCAGAACTCAATGGCAAAATATAGAATCGCGTAAAATTGCGTAAATTGATTGCTTATATTTTTATTTTCTATTTATTAAAATCTATTATTTTATCAATGCAATGAAACAGAACTATATAAACCAAATCATATAAATAACAAAAAGAATTCACTACTTACCAAGAAATCGCTACACAGATTTTTTTTATATATTCAAATTTTATTATAATATTGAAAAAATTCAAAATTTTTTTCAAATTTATCTATTTTAATGATGGTTCCTGGTATTTTAAAGTAATTTCTATTAATAGCAATAAAGAAATTATTATATATTCAGTTATGTTTGCAAACTGAGAATCTTCTGAGTAATCAACTATTGATAACATAACTGATTATTCGAATGATATTATAATTATAAATCAGCTTATTTATACATTTGAAATTCATAATACAGGATTTAAAATCTAATATCAAAAGCTGCTAATGTATAATGAAATAAGTCAGAAAAGTTATCTTTTATAAAGTTCATTTTTAATTGATATGTATAAATATTTATTTATATAATTTCAGTTAACGTTCTTTTTTATGTTATACAAATGTAAATTAAACAATAGTTTTTTTTTTGACTATATATTTTGAATTTTCTTGTTATTATTATTTTTTTATTTTTATACAATTATTTATTTTGATATTAGATAGATAATGAAAAACTACTATATCATAGTTATTTTTATTATATTAAAATGATATTACATTTACTTTAAAAAAGTTTAATATTTTAAATTATAATTAATAATATTATTGTGTTATATATCATTAAAATAAATAACTAATTTTTTAAATAACAAATTTATATAAATTTGATTCTATTCTTTGATATTTCTATGAATTGTTTTTAGTATTCTAAATTGTTAATGAAGAAAAAAAGTCATTATAAAATATTACTATTTTTGATAATATAAATCTTATTTATCTTTAGTGATAATGAGTTTCTAATTATAATACACAATATACATAATATTTAATAATTAATTATATTAATAAAAAAATGTGAATCATTATTTATAATTTATTTAAAGACCTTACATTCTTAGATTTTAAATTACCTTTAATTTTGCATATATTTTAAAAATTTTATATGTCACAAAATTTATATATAATTAATTCAATCTCTATTTAAAATTTGCTATTTGCTATACTAAAATTTTTCAATTATAAAATTTAAAATTTATTGATTATTTTCACATTTCTCTTTTAAGTCATCAAAAAATTTAGTATATCTCAGTTTATTTAAAAATAAAAAAAGTTAAAATATTACTTTTATATTATTAACATACTAATTATAGAAGTATTATTATAATTTTGAATGTTATTATCATTATTTGAAGAATACAATAATAATTTAAAAGATATATTCAAGTTTTCAATAAAAGTGATTTTTTATGAAACTATATCTAAAAGGTTACTTTGATCATTAAAACTTCTTTTTAGATAAAATAGAATAACAATTGCAAAAAAAAGCTATGCTTATTACTTTGGCTTCTAGAATTAAGATTAGATTAAATTAAAAAGAAAATAATAGAATTTCACATTTCTATAGCCATTAAACAACTCTTTATAGTAATTATTCATTTAATCATTATTGCAGTTTGAATTATAAAACTGTTACAGTATATAGAATCAAAATACTAGAATAAGGTTAGGTATTTTTTTAATGTTTTAATTAAATATATAAAAATAATAAATATATTAATTTTGTTTCTTAAAAGCAAAAAATAATATATTCAAAAATAACAATACTTAGTTAAAATAAACTTACCATTTAATGTAAGTATATTCAAATTAAAAAACTGAAAAGATCTAAAAAAAAATTAAATAAATATAATTTATCATAATTATAATCTAATGAAAAATCACCAAAATCACCTACTAGTTTAAATGTAATAATTTAATATTAATAATATTTGATATATTTAACTAATGTAATAAACTAAAAATAATATGATAAATTTATTAAAAATTATTCAAATTACTCATAATATAAACAGAAAACCAGAATTCTAAAAAAAATAATGAATAATCTTACTTACTGAGAGTGATTCAAAGTGAAAATTACCAAATATTTAAAAATCAAAAAATTAAATAAAACCTATTTAACGTATCTGATGGTAACCTAAAGAGAAAATCTGTTTAAAATCTAAAAAAAAACAAAGAAATTATTAATTAATATTAATAAAAAAAGAAATTTACTTAAAAATATTCACAAGTAAAAAATTATTAAAGATCTAAAAAAATAAAAATTTTAATTAATAGTCAATAAAAAATATAAATTAATAAAAAGAAAAAAATACTAATCATACTTTTTTGAAAGTGGTCTAAAACACAAAACTGCTAAAAAATCTAAAAAATAAATAAATAATACAATTAATATTAACTAAAAAATTAAGAAGAAATCTATTTAACTTAATTAAAAAAAAATCTACTTACCAAAAGTATCTGAAATGAAAAACTTGCCAAATATCTAAAAAACAAAATATTAATTAATAATTAATAAAAATGTAAAATAACAAAAAGAAAAAATACCAATCTCACTTACCTGTATTTAAAGTGAAAAATGCTTAAAAATATAAAAAAAGAAATTAGTAATTAATTTAATGAAAAAATAAAAAAAATCACTTAATATAAAGCTATAGATTACCAAGAATTCTAAAAATAAATTAATTTTAAAATAATAATAAAAACAAAAAAAACAATTTTACTTATCAAAGTAGTCTATAATGAAAAACTATCTGAAAGATCTATAAAAAAAATTAATACAATCAATATTATATCTAAAAGCAACCTAAAATAAATAATATAATAAAGAAAAAAATAATTAATATTAATCAAAAACAAAAAAAATCCATTTATCTAAAAGCAATCCATATATCTGAAACTAAAAAAATCATTTTAAATTAAATTAAAAATAGTTAAGCTTATATATTATTTAGATTATTATCATAAATTTAATATTTAAAAATATTTCTTTTTTTTCAATATGTTGTAAGACTGAAGTTTTTGATTAATAATTTTTTATTTACATAACGAACGCGATGGCATTTACAATTTGCGATCATAAAATTAAAAAATTAAAATTTTTTACTAATTAAAACCATTTATATTTGCGTGATTTTAAAATTTGAAAAAATAATAATTTAATACATATTTTTAGTAAGTTATGCCAATAAAACATAATGTATAAATTCAAGAAATTTTTTGTTTACAGTCATTTTTTTCAGGGAGTGTACGTACTACGACCTCTATTAAAAATATTTGACAAAATTAATAATGAATTTTTATTAATAATAGTTATGAAATCGGGCATTATTGCATCATAAATATTCTTGAGTTATTGTTTTTTCCATTTCAAATTTAAATAATTCTTGTTCCATCAAAGTAGTAGGTAACAAATTTTAATAATTATTCACTACGGTAAAGAATTGGCAAATAATCACCTCAAATAAGGATCGGCATATTGGAGGTTACACGATTGGCAATTTGACTGAAGTCGTACACCCAGTCAGCGGTGGTCAAAAGTATAGCATTACATTTTAAAATGGCAATATAAAGTCCAATAGTAAATTAACTAACCTTGACAGTGGTTCCACCTAAGACTACTACTGGTGGTGGAGGAGGAATATCTCGTGATTTAGAAGGCGCAATATTATGATATTAGTCTATAAAAATTATTGTAGTTATAAAATCAAAATTTTAAAGAATATATTTTACGTTAATTATGTAAGGTTTTCTTTTGACTAATGTTTTATTAAATATTTATTATAAAAAAATTTAAAAAATAATTATATTACATTATAGCAAAATAATTATATTATTTGAAATTCCGCAGGAATCTGAGATTAGTTGTAGATCCGAGATTGTGAGGTGAGATTCAGCAATATTGCGCAAGATTAATTACAAATCTATGTAAATAAACTGCGCAATATTACTAAATCTTGGATCTGCCACAATCTCGAATCTACAATTTGCGCAATATGTGAAATCTTGGATCTGCAATTGATTAAGTAATAAATCCAAAATTTTGCGTTGAACTTAATGTCATTATATTGTGAAATATCTGAACCGCACAAAATTGCGCTATTTCATTTCTCGTGTCCTTATTTTCTATTTATCAAAACCTTTTGCATAATCAATGAAACTGAGCCACACCTGATATATATAAATCAGCAAGCAGAACTCGCTACTCTCCAAGAAATTGCTACACCATTTTCTTTTGTATATCTCAAGTTCTTGTCATAACATAGAAAAATTCAAAATGCTCTCCAAATTTATCTATATTCTGATGCTTATGACATGTGTGCCAGCTGCTATTGCTACATATATCGAAGTTGCAGGAATAGCGAACACTGATGAGAGTCTTCAAAACAACCACCTCGGCGCTAATGTATGCTTAAGGGCAGATAACTGATACCATAGTTGCTTGAACTTTGATGAGAATTCACCAAATGAAAAAAAAGCTTGTTCTGGCGATGGTGTCTGGTGTTTTAAAGTGGTCTCTGTTGATGGCAGACAAGGATTGATTAATTATTCAGTCATATTTGCAAACCGAGAATCTACTGTGCAATCATCTGATGATGCCGATCCTCTTTGTTCAGAGCCTAAAGCAAATGAGCATAAATGTAGATTTGAAATTATTAATCACGGATTTGACGTGTAATATCAAACAGATGCTGCAAACGAAACTAATCAAATATATATTCCAAAATTAAGATCATTTTTTAATTGTTATATTTTACTATGTATTTTTGAAAATTTTCTGTTATACAAAGTTCCCTTTTTAAATGTAATCAAGTAATAATTATATTTGTTTGACTAGAAAGATATTAAAAAGTTCTTCGTTATAGTAATTTTTTTATTTTTATACAACTATTCATAAGATGATTAGATAGATAATGAAAAATCACTATTCTATAATTATTTTTTTATTACATTTTGAAATATATCAAAATAAATCGCATTTCACGTGAAAATCTACCGACTTTTTTTTTAGGATTTGCATTAAAGATCCGTTCTATTCTTTGGAATAGTTTTTAGGAAAGCTATTGAAAGAACAAAATCACTCTATCGTATGAAGAATCCTAAGTTTAATATATTTAACGAATACGAATGTTCTGCAAAATGTTACTGTTATTAATTAATTATATTATAAAGATTTCAATCTTGTTCATTATTTCTGATCTTTGGATAACACTCCTTTTTCAAATTATCATCTTAATTTTATGTAACATGTTCATAATTTATGATTTATACCTCAAAATTTACGTACAAGTTAGTTCAATCTCTAATTAGATTAACGATATTAATACGCTGTACTAACTTTATTCGATTATAAATTTTAATCTTTCCCGACTATTTCATATTACTATATCTATAAAAAATAATTAAAAAAAAATGAAATTTTTTTTTTTAAAATTACATTATTAACTGTAACTTAGAATGTTATTATTATTATTATTATATTTTCATTATTATCCCTTTAGAAAATACCAAATTAAATGTTTTATCTTTTTTTAATAAAACTAATAATTCTAATGTAGATATGCAACTATATAAATTTAATATATTAATACACCATTAAATCAAGAAAATGCTAATTAGTTTTGTCGTTCATTAATAACCTGACTTATATATTGAACCGACCTTAACCGTCTAAAATATGCTTTAACCGGTTAATGAACAGGTAAATTTCTCAGCCCGGTACTATAAATTTAGGCGGAGCTAGTAAAATTAATCACACAAAAAAAAATCTTTAAATCTGCCCAAAAATTAAATTTTGCCGGAGTTAACATTAATTTAACCGAATCCACTAGAACCTTAACGTTTAAAATAAACGTGAAAAGTAACTCATATTGAGATAATTTGTATTTTCAATGATGGCACAGTAATATCCATTATAAGTAGCCACGAACAAATTAATCACAAACTGAGCTTCTCTGTGCTAAGTACATTGAAACAATTAATTATTACGAAACTTATAATCGTTACAAGAATGTCAATTGCACAAAGTTATTAATCATTTTATATTAATAGAATGTACATGCATATAGCATAAAATGAGTTCGTAAACTCTCGTTGAAAAAGTTCGTTTAATTGATAAAATTTCAAACTTGAGAATGACGACAACAAGGAGCCGGAATACGAAGTCTGAAGATCCTAACCAATAATGAGAGTCCCGAGTTTTGAAAACCATTTTGTTTTGCTATGTGAAATATATTTTTTTCATGAGCTTAAGTCAATTATTATAATGCGATCGACACACGTTATTTATTATAATTAAAAATTCCAGTTTGTCAAAATGAATGAACCGCGTGAATAGCCAGATTTAATTTTTATTTTTTTGTAAAACAAAGTTTATTGAAAAAGAAAGTCTGAATTAATTTGCATGTTGCTTCAATTAATGTTACTAGCTGTGCAAATTAAAGGTTAATAATTAACTGGTTGATTAACCTCAAATGGGGATGTTGTCTGCAAGATGTCAAAGCATATTAGCAGACCTCCACTCCATGAATGCAATTGGTAATGTAGATTATGATACGAAAAAATAATTTATAGCTCAATATGTTAACACTTGAACTTTTGACGTACAAATGATTATTGCGCTATTTTCTCATTTGTACCGTTACCAATTTTACAAATATTTTCTTTTCTTTTTTTTATTGTATGAATTAATCAAAAATTTTGACGGGAAGAATTTTTAGTCAAGAATTTGGGCGGTAAAATAAAATGATTATCATAAAATGAGTCGCTTTCAATTTGCATAATTTATCGATTTCTTTGATATATGATTTATATTATTTATGCATAAAGATTATGTCACAGGTACAGGTAACGTAACAATTGATAACAGCTACCCTTCATAATAACCCTTCTTTTCTTAACTAGAAAAGTACTCATTTTTTTTATAGTTTGATGTTAATCGATCGTTATACGATTTATCAATTTTCAGTATCAGAATTTTTTGAAAAAGCATTTCACAAAAATAAAATTTTGAATGTAATGTTAATTTTTTTAAAGCGAAATTTATTTCTCGAAGTCTGAAAAATTCGCGTGGATATGAGATTTAAAATTGTTGACGACAATATGATATTAGTTTTTTATTGTATTTGAAATGTCGCTCTGCAAGGGAAAAGAACTATTCTAATCCTGTCATAAATACAAGGCGAAACCTCCTTCTTTTATAACAATTCCCCCTTCATGAGGCTTTGGCACGAATATCATTCAATTACGACTGCTTAGGTACGGGGTGATCAATATGTCTGAAAATCCCGAAATATAAGATCATACAGCGCAGCTGATCGTTTCGATTTAGACGCAGTTCAATTTTACCGTGTGACCTATATCTTTGTCCCTACCTATTTACATTTGGTAAGAATGTAGTGTCGCACGACCTCGTTTAAAGAAGTTAATTTTCCAATAATTATTACAACAGGAGTAAGGCATCGAAAGAAATAACAAAAATTTGCAATCTTATTTTTTTTTTTTATTATTTTTTTTTGAAAATGTTTAATGTATGGGTCGTTTGCTATTAAAATCAGGTCACTAGACATAGTAAATCATATGATCCGAACATGTATTTTAATAGCCAACCTCCCATATGTTATGTTACCTTTGCAATAGAAAGGGGGAAACTGCTGAGAAAAATAAAAAATGAGTTAATGATTAATTTGAGCCTAAAAATCATTTGGCATGTAAAAGTAAAATTGATTTATTCCGGCAGTTTCCCTTTTCTATTGCAAAGGTAACATATATTAAACATTTAATTTTCTTTTTTCTTTTTTCTAGTTGTACCTCATAACTTATCGACAATTTTTTGACTTTTTGACCGCGTAGACAAACTTTATTTATCTAAGAAAAATTGGTTTATTATATTAATAAATTATATTTTTTTTAATAATTATTTATTTAACGAATTTAAAAAGTTGTTGCACAATAAATCATGTTTTGTCAATTGTACAAATTGTGATTAGTAGGTTGGAATCAAAAGAGTATCATGTCATGATTTGATCATCATGAAATCAAGCAAAATGTACTGTACATGATAATCGTCAGTGTTTTGCGTCTTTATGATTAGAAGATTGTCATTTGTCATTTGAAATCATTTTTAGAATAAAATATTATTTGTTTTACATAAAAGAATTATTATAAAACTGAAATGGATAGAATTAACTATTAGGGTGGTACAATTATGGAACAAAATGTAAGGGAGAGAATTAGGAATCAAATGACAGTTGTGAAGATGCCAACAAATGAAATGTTTTTTGAACGAAAATATTTTTTCAAATCTGAAACTTTTCACCCATAGAATTTTAAGTTTCGCCTTATATGTCCAGAACTAACTGAGACTTGAAAAATTCTTTTACTAATTTCACTCGAAACATCGAAGAATTTGTAAAAGAATCTTTGCAATGATACTTTGCAAATATCACGGATACACTTTCGACTTCGCATTAAAATTCATCTTTAGAGTTGCTCACCTTATTGTAAACAATTTCCTCAATTTTTATCTTATCCCAACCTTTATTTGTTTATAAGAAAAGGAGAAAGTGACAACAAAAGCCATCTGGTATGAATCTTACAATAATTGTTCAGTACTGAACGACTTTTATGGGGTGACAAATTAATAAAAATATGTAGAGACTGTGGATTTATATGGGATTACCAAAGATTATTTGATGCACGCTAATATTATATAATTACTTTTTGTATTTTAAGAGTCAATTATCAATGTTCGATTTCCTCAGAACTTTTAGTGATATATGAGAATCTGTTTTCAAATTTCTGGTGATAGTTGGTTTCAAGTTCCTAAACTAGTTTCACATTAAACCAAAGCTTTCTCTTTATTAAACTAATTCGCCCAAATCATTACCGTTAACGCTGTAAGATTCGAAGGTTATGGTGAAAATCTTATCATTGCAACAAGTTCTTATGAGATGCAGCATACCAGAGTGAATAAGTTTCTCGTCTGATACATTAAATAAACCAAATATTATCTTCAAACTCAAAATGAGTTATTGATAAATCAAGTGCCACAACAAATAATTTATTATTTACAAGCATATTTGATTATTATTGGTAAGGAAAATTACAAGAGGAGTTTTCACTAATACTTATAATCCAAATGAAACAGAATTGATTCTTGTTATTTCATAAGATGTAAGGATAACTTTAGTTATTAATCTTATTAATTAATAATTAATTTTAGGTTTAGCAATATTTCACGACCAAATGAAAATAATAAAGATCCCATTCTGACCGATAGAACTTATTAATTATAAAAGTAATAATAGTGCTCCCGCAGAATTAGAATTTTTATTTAGGAAAATGTTAGAAATATAAAAATTCATATGAAACTTCACTCAACTAAAAATCATGCAACCTTGTTCGCAAAATGCTATTCTTTACCTATTTCACAATCAATATAAACTCCAATATATTCTTATATATTCTCCAATTTTGTTACCTAGCATTATACAATATCATTCAAATTCTACAGTCTTCCCACCAAACCGACCAAAATACATATTTTTTTGCATCATACCTTGCTAATACTACACTACCTCATCTAATATTTTTAGGTAGAATTATTGCAAGTTCCGATAATAGACTTTATTTTTAAGTTTAAAATAGAAAATCTTGAATATATCTAAAATTTTAATAAAAGTCTTTATTTTTTAAAAAGTAGCAACTACAAAAAAAAGAAAACATTTTTAAATGAATATCTTTCATCAAGATATATCGAGAATGAAGGCATCTTTACATTATAGATGTGTTTACTAATTTACCCTCAAGTTCTGATTGGCTGGTATAATTAATATTAGTTAGGTTATTACCGACACTGGTAGTTTTCAATTTTTATTAAGTTAAGTATCTGGGTTGTGATGTTTATTTGTCACCCACTGAGAATAATACCAGCCAATCATAATGTGGGGATAATTAGTGGATGGACTCTGTTACAGATTACTTAAGTTAATTTAATTAATCGAATTAATCGATCTCTATTTAAGTCTAGCAATCATGTAACATTTATTTACAAATGATAAAAGAAAAAATCGGTAAATAAAGCCATGATTTCTTACGTAATATGGATTTCAACACCTATATCTTAAAGTCTGTATGATTTTATCAACAAAGGCCTTTGAATGCCCAATACTCATCAGAAGACATCCTTGAACTATTACAAATCACAACAATATAAGCAGGAAAACAATGAATGTTATTTGAAGTTATTAAGCAATATGAAGCATAACAATTTGCAACTTTGGAAACTCTTTCTATTTATTTAAAAACCTTCTATATATGTTTACTAATTTATTTTTCTTCTCTTCATGCTTCCTTCTGTTTTTGGAACTTTTCGACATTTCTTTTGACATGCTTATTCCAGCCTGTAAAGAAAGCTCATTCCATTTTAAAATATTTTAAATATAAATTCATAAAATATCATTTCTGTTTAGAAGATCCAAGTTTGGATTAGAAATGAATATAGAAATGTGTCATTTTTCTTTGGATATAATATAAATATAGAGAGTTGTTTCTTGTTAATTTTATGATAAAAATGATTATATTTCAATGAAGTCAGTTTTATATAATACAAATATAGTAATAACATAACACTCTTAAGGTTTTTGAAGATCACTTGGATAATTTATATACCCTTTTTTTAATTCTTAGGAATGGAAGCGTCGAAACTCCTATCGAAGACATCTGAAAATTGATATTTTATTTGTGTACGTCTTCGTGATCAGAAGAGTACTGACATCCCGCCTATCACTCAGTACTTTTTGCTTCATCAGAATGGAAGCATAATGATCAACATTACCATTGCTTTCCTTTATTCTTGCATAGAATTATTGGAAAATAAATCAATTCAAGGGTTAAACGAGAAGATGAATTTTGGAAATTATTGTGTGGAATGATTCAGGTTATGCTAACGAATTAAATGAATCCATAAAGGACATATTTACAAAACAATTGAGGAATTGTGTAAATTTGAAATCAACAAATAATGGATAAAGATTCATGACTAAAAGTAAACTCAAAGGCAAAATAATATTTGTATTCAACGAGACGCGTCTTTTAGTGAAATAGAATTCTGACAACTAATTCTTAAACTTCAGAAGTGCCTCCCTCGTGGCATTATCGCGGATACTCCGTTGCAAATTAATTCCTCTATTTTATTCATCCCAACCTTTGATTTGTTCAAATAGAAATAAGCGAACATTAACGAAAGGCATTTAGACCCAATAAAAAAGTTGATCAGTGTTTTGTTTTTTTCCGTGAAGGGCTTATTTTCAATGGAAATTTCACGTAAGCCACGGAAACATGCTGGCTAAAATTTTTATAGGAAGAAGGTCACAACAATTGTCAGTGATGAATAGGTTTTTTAAAGTTAATGTATTTTTTTAAAACAATTTTATATTCGAAAATAATTTCTTTTGTTATTTGGACAATATATTAAAATGTAATATTAACAGACTTTGAGTTATTTAAAAAAATTTTATTATAAATTAAATAATTAGTATCATTTAAAAGTAAAAGGAATTAACAATAATTAAATAAATAAAACGAATAAATTGTTTACAAAGTCCAATCCCTTTTCTTAAAATAATCAATAGCTTGCTTATGTTGTTTATAAGCAGCTAATCTCATATATTTTTCTCCCAATGCTTCATCTTTAATTCCACACTTATCAGATAAATACAAACTAGCAGCATTAAACATACCAACAGATTGGCCATTTTCGGCGGCTTTTGTAAAATATTCGGCAGCTTGTTTTAAATCCTTCTTAACTCCAATTCCTTTAATTAAACAATTACCGTAACGTAATTGGGCTTCAGGATCACCTGAATCCGCTACTTCTTTATATAAATCTGCTACTAATTTGTCTTTGGTTGGTTGGTCCATGTCAAGTTCAACATAATTTTGTTGAATATAATATGCTTTATAGTATTTTGCTTTTATGTCATTTAATAATGCATATGCTTCAAAACATTTATAAGATAACTCGCGATTACTTTTATTTTTCACTGCTTCATCTACCGACATATAATTAAATTCTGCGAAATTTATATTTTTCTCTTCTTTAACTTCTGGCGGGATACGAGGTGATGGTGGAAGCTTACCATCTTTCTGATAAAGTTCTTGTAAAATGGTAAAAATTTTTGAAAATTGAGGTCGCAAATTATAATCAGGATGAACAGCTAGTATAGATTTATAATGACATGATGTTAATAAAGATCATACAATTAGTTTTATTAAAGAATAGAAATTATATAAATAATACCTTTTTTTGCGATATCTTGATATTCTCTTGGTAAAGAACCAAGAGAAAATGGTTCACGATATTTTTTGGCGCAAACGAGCTCTTGTATAACCGTTATATCGTCATATTTCTCATAAGGTATTTTCTTTTCAGCAATTTCCCAAAGTAATATACCAAAACTATAAACTTCACATTTTGTGTCATATTTTGTCCTATTTTCTAATTTTTCTGGAGCGCAATACCGTATAGCTTCTAGAGTTGCAGCATGATTTTTTGTATTTTCATTTACTGCTCGACTAGCTTGAAAATTTGCAATTTTGGCCGTCTCATGATCAGTAATTAAGATATTCTCGGCTCTAATATCACGATGAACGATCTGTTACCTCCAAAAATAATAAATGATTATTTTTTAGAAATTAAAATTTACGGATGATATGAAATTAAAATAATTATAACTTCTTACCAAAGCAGAGCTCAGGAAATTCAATCCTTTGGCAATGTCAAGAGCAAACCTTAATTTCAGCTTAACATCAAGCGGATAATTTTGATAATATTCACGCAAATTGCCATACTCGGCCCATTCCGTCACCAAATAGAATTTATCATCATATGCAGTTAAACCAATGTATTGAATAATACAATCACATGGTTTCAATTTCTTTAAAATTGTAACTTGCTTTCTAAAATTATCTTTATCTTCTTCACTGCTGCTATTTTTAACAGGAACCAACTTTAATGCAACATAATCATTCAATCCATGTTTTCTTCTTCTAAATTTATATACATTTTTTAAATTTCGATTTATATCACGTTCTTGTTCTTCAAAGTCATTATAATCGAGTAATTCACTCTTGAATACATCATCAGTATTTGTAAATTTAGCATCCGACAATGATTTATTTAATGCACTCAATTGTACGAGAATAGCCGAGATCTTATGATTCCCGTCAGTTACACCACTGCCGATTTCATCAAGGTACTATAAATGAAAATTGTAAAATAAGGTTGAATGTAACGTGAAAGATCAAAAAAATAAATAAATAATTCATTTTATGCAAGGTACACATTACCTTAGTTAAATCATCGATATCAGACTTAATATCTTTATTATCTTGTTCTGCACGTATACTAAAATCGACCGCCAGAGAGAAGTGTAATGATTGTATAGTGGAATCAAACTCACTACTAAATTCTTTTACATTGCTCTCAATACTTTTAGCTTGAATATACTTGGATAAACCTGTTAATTGAGATATTTCTCCAACAAATTTCCGAATTTTTTTAATTATTTTAACCAATTTTTGCAGATGGGTAAGATTACTTTTTGAAAAAAAATTTTCATTTTTGTCTCTACGATTTTTTAAATTCCTTAATGCTGTATCGGCTATTTGGACCCTATCCAACAATATCCCACATATTTTTTTATTATGCTCGGCAGATTGATATATTTCTACAATTTCATTAAATACTTCGGCTACCTCTTTTATAAGTGGTAAAAAACTTATAAATGGCAGTATTATGTCGGTTGTGGTTTGAATTCCATCTAAAACAAATGTTGCTGTATTAAGCGCTGGTCCTAAATTTAAATTCATTTTTTTTTTAATAAACAATATTTCATTAAAAGAATTAAGTTTAAAGAGCAACTATAAATTATCTTTACCATCATCTTTTTTAGGAGTTTTCTCGGGATCCAAATCTGACGCGAATTTTTTTTTTTGTAATATATTTAGTAATTGATTAAGAAATGATTATGGTGGGAAATTTTATAAATTATCTTTACCATTTATTGTATCTGGATTAGTATAAAAAATATTTTAGCAATTGATTATAGTTTAATGAGCAAATGTACAATTATCTTACCTTTTGATGTAGGAGTTCTCTCGTGATCCGAGTCTAACGCCATTTTTTTTTAGGCAAATAATTTAGAAATTGATTATTGAAAGCATTATACTGTGGTATGATAAGATAATTCATTTACCATTTGATATTTTAGGTTCTGAAGTCTCCTTGGCATTCGAATCTGGTGTTAATTTATTAATATCAATATTTAAATTATAACGTGATGAACAACTGTATATATTATACTTACCATCTGATGCTACAGGATCCAAAACTGGTGTTAAATTATTATTATTATTTTTTTTTTAGTATTCTAGAAATTGGTTATTAAATAATTATAGTTGACGTTAAAGTATTTACCATTTATTTTTTTTAATGCAGAAGTTTCCTTGGCATCCGAATCCGGCGCTAATTTGTTTTAATTTTTTTTAAGATAAGATGATTAAGAATTATAGTTAGTTAAGCAAATGTATAAAATAATCTTACCGTCTGATGTAGGATTATTCAAATCTCGCACTAATTCTATGATTTAAAATTATTTTTATTTTTTGAATATTCGTCAATTTTCGGTAGATACATAACTAGCTTTACCTGAATTCCCGACGCAGCAGAGAAAGTTTTTAATATTTTTAAGTACAGGCATTGCAATAAAATTTAGGAGTAAATGTGTGGTTTTTATATTTATTGACAAACTCGTCGCACAAATATGTATGAACTGCACGCCGATCGCTAAAAAAGATTATAAAAGAAGCTTTATAGTAGTGTAACATCTCCTTTGTTCTTTTTTAAATTACCTAAATTGATATTGTAATTATTTCTTGTTTGTGACTCCAACAAAGCGTTTTGTCATTCAAATGTTTCATTTTCATTATTCAGGAAAATTTTGTTTATTAATTTTTTGCCGAGCACAATATCCTATATTGTAAAAGATTTATTTCATAAATAATATTCTTTTCTTCAAAATAAGATAATAATAAATTCTTTAATTCATTAAAAAGCAAATAAAAAAAAGAACGAATAAACGAAATACTATGAATTACTAAAAATAAATTATAAATGATGCACTGCGGTATGTAATAAATTCCGTTTGAAATTCAAATTTTGAATTTCAAATATTTGAAATGAATATCGAAAAAATTCTCTTTTTAGATTTTATTTTTTTATAAATTTTATTTATTTAGCTTATTTTTTATTAATCATATACTGTATAATTTACTGATATTTCGTATAATTCATTTTTTTTTTTCGGCACAAATTCCGGACATCAATTTTTCAAATTTTTCATAGGCCTTCGTAATTGTGTAACGCATTATTAACTCCCCGATTTCTACATATGGATATGATATTTGTTATGGCGCCTCATCTCTTCCTTTCCAATAATTTCTTTCGCAACATAAATTTACTACTCGACTTTAGACATTCATACGCACTGGTGATTCTTATTTTCATCAAAAACAACTTCATCTGAATGCGATGATGAATAAGTTTGGCAGAAAATTTTACCAACAGAAACTTTTGAACGCTCACTCCTCAACGGAAGACTTCTCTAAACTATCCAAACACAAGCAGGAAAATGTTAGATATTGAATAGTAAGCATTACAAACATAACAATTTTCAACTTGAATATTTCTTTTCTATTTATTTGAAAGTTCGATATATTCATTTGTAACTATTTCTTTTTATTGCATACTTCTTTCTGTGAAGGTACTTATATTGGCCAAACCCTGGTAAAGAAAATCCTTCCATTTTCTTTTCAAAGTGACGTTAAAAAGTGTTTCTTATACTATATTACATAAATTTGCATCAAAAGGTATCCGAAATCTGAAAAATCTAAATTTACCAAATCTCCATGTGTAATGTATGGACTCTTTGAGGAATAGTATGTATCTATTAAATAGTGCCTGACTTTGTCTTGTTCAATGTTCAATAATAATGTCTGTTATTAGAAAACTAATCTATCTATGAATGGAACGAAATGCAACAAAGAGAATGAAGCTTGGAAACAAATATGAGGATTGCGACAAATTACGTTAACGTATAAATGAATCTCTAAAGGACAAAGCTTACAAAATAATCGAGAAGTGAAAACAAAAAACGATGGATTAGGGATTGGATTCGATTAAAAAGATTCGATTTTCGATTTCGATTAATTGATTTCAATTAATTCGATGATTTACCATTTGTCGCGATCAATAAACTCAACATCAAAATTGCATTTGACGAGGGTCTTTAAGTCACGGAAAACTCTCAAATTTTGCACCAATTTCATTCAGCCCGAGTTTAAATCTCTATCAAGTAGGGATGCTAATGGTTATGACCGGTTATGACTGGTCATAACCGTGACCCATACCGGTACAAAGATTGTCTGACCGATTTTTACCGACTGGTTGATTAACAATATTGTTTTATTTAATTATTTATAAAAAATTAAAGTCTAGCTCTATAAAAAATGATAATCCGTGTTTTGTTTTCCATGTATTTTCCATGAAGGGCTCATTTTCACGGAAATTTTACGTAAGCCACGGAAAAATAACGGATGAAAATTTTTATAGGGTGAAATACTGTTTAATATGTTTTACAAGTGCAATGTTAAAATAGTAAAAATGAAAAATAAAAATTATCATAATTATCTCAGATAATATTACATAAAATGTATTATAGGCTTTGGCGGCGGCTTCACCAGTTTGTTTAATTATAAAGCGGTTTAACCGACCGTTGCAACCCTATCAAAATGGAATAGCAATGGAAAAACTAATTGGAATTGTTGCTTCTGCAACCAACCGGTACGATCAAAATTGTTGGAGGAGCGTACCATACTGATTTCCTCCCCTCTGCAAAATGATATACCCAATTAATCAACATCATGGGTTTGTCTAAATTTACAAAACTGATTTCACGTTACGATCATGATTTGGAGGATCGTACTACGAGCTTTTTTGACATTTATTTTTAGCGAAGGCTATTCGTGTTCATTTGGTAATTATTGGGTTGGTTTAACTCTCATTTTATATCTGTTACATTTACTCCAAATGTAATGACTCAAGACATTTCACTTCGTTTCATTCTTACCGTAACCGAATTTTCTGAGCATAAATGAATAGCTATAGGGTGACCCGTGATAAAAAAGTTCATATTCACCCTAATATTTAGCATTTTTCATAATTAGAAATTCTTTTACAATCTTTATTAAATAATTAAAAATACATATAATAATCCGTTAAAAAAACGTTTTTACTAAAGAATTGATATTTTAGGTAATAATTTAACGCAGCTACGTCAATGCTAGCATTTTGATGTAAAGAAATAATAAATAAATTTAAATAAATAAAAAAGCGGTTTTCTAAATTACCAAAGGCAAACCCTTATTATTATAATAATCAATAGCTTGTTTATGCTGTTTATAAGCAGCCAATCTCATGTATTTTTCACCCAACACTTCATTCTTTAAACCGGAATTATCAGAAAAATATAAAGTTGCAGCATTATACATACCAACAACTTGGCCACTTTCGGCGGCTTTGGTAAAATATTCGGCAGCTTTTTTTAAATCCTTTTTAACTCCTACACCTTTAAATAAACAATTACCGTAACGTAATTGAGCTTCGGGATCACCTGAATCCGCTACTTCTTTATATAAATCTGCTACTAATTTGTCTTTGGTTGGTTGGTCCATGTCAAGTCTAACCAAACTTTGTTGAATATAATATGCTTTAAAGTATTTTGCTTTCATATCATTTAATTTTGCATTGGCTTCAAAACATTTATAGGCTAACTCGCGATCGCCATTCGTAAGTTTATGTTGCTTCGCCGCTTCATCTACTGACATTAATCTTTCCGAGAAATTTATATCATTTTCAAGAGTTTCACTGTTTGTTGGTGTGATTTTGGGACTATGCGATGGTGTATGTCTAACATCTTTCTTATATAGTTCTTGTAGAATGGTAAAGATCTTTGAAAACTGAGGCCTAAAGTTATGATCATGATCAACAGCTAGATATAAATGTAAGTTTGCAGAAGTTAATATAAAAGCCAAATAAGTTTGTTGAATAAAACAGATATAAGACATATAAATACCTTTTTTTGCAAGGTCTTGATATTCTTTTGGCAAAGTAGTACCAAGTGAAAATGATTCACGAAATTTTTTGGTGCAAACGAGCTCAGTAATTACAATGATATCATTACCATATTTCTCATAAGGAATTTTCTCTTCGGCAATTTCCCAAAGCAGTATGCCAAAGCTATAAACTTCACATTTGGTGTCATATTTATATGTCTTTCCTTTTTCTAACTTTTCTGGTGCGCAATATCGTACAGCCTCTAGTGTAGCAGCTTGATTTGATGTGCCATCAGTAATTGCTCGACTTGATTTAAAATTTGAAATCTTGGCCAACTTCCGATCGGTGATTAGGATATTCTCGGCTCTAATATCACGATGAACGATCTATTTTTCCAAAAAATATCAAATGATTCATTTAGATTTTAAAATGATTGAGAATTAAAATGATAAGAACAATAAGAACAGTAATAAATTACCGAAGCTGAGCTCAGGAAATTCAAGCCTTTAGCAATGTCAAGAGCAAAACTTAATTTCAACTTTACTTTAAGTTTTCCATGTTGTTTATAAAATTCACGTAAATTTCCATTATCAGCCCATTCAGTTACCAAGAAAAACTTATCATCATTTGCAGTTAAACCAAAAAATTGAATAATACAACGACATGATTCCAATTTTTTTAAAATTGTAACTTGTTTTCTAAAATTATCTTTTTCTGCTTGATTACTATTTCTATCAGCCACTAACTTTAACGCAACAAAGTCATTCAATTTAATATATTTGAATTTTTTAACCCTTGTCGATTTTCGATTACCTTCAAGATTTTCTTCTTCGAAATCACTAAATTTGATTAATTCACTTCTAAATCCTTCAGTATTTGCCTGTTTCTCGGACAATCTAGGTTCCGTCAAGGTTTTATTAAGCTCATACAATTGCTTGAGTATAGTCGAGATCATTTTGTTTCCGTCAGTTACACCACTGCCGATGTCTTCCAGGTACTATATGATAAGAGAATTTGTGACATAAGAATACTCATCATACAAAATATTAATTTATGCATATCACACATTACCTGATAAAACTCTTTGATATCAGACTTAATAATTTCATTATCTTTAGCTGCTTTATCAGCGTTGATAGTAAAATCGACAGTCAGAGAAAATTGTAATACATTTATAGTGGAATCAAATTCACTACTTAATTCTTGAACAGTTTTTTCAAGGTTTTTAGCTTGAATATACTTTGCTAAACCTGTTAACTTAGAAATATCTTCAACAAGCTTACGAATCTTACCAACGACATAAACTAAATTTTGTAAATTGATAAGATTATTTGCCGAAAAAAAATCTACATTTTCATCTCTACGATTTTTCAAATTCCTTACGGCAGTGTCAGCTATTTGAACTCTATCCAACAATATCCCACATATTTTTTTATTATGCTCAGCTGATTGATATATTTTTATAATTTCATTAAACACTTGGGTTACCTCCGTTATAAGTGGCAAAAAACTAGCAAACGGTACCATTGCGCTGCTTATCACATCTATTCCGCCGGTAATATATGATCCCGCATCAAGGTTTGTTTCTATTATAATAAAAGTTTAATGATTATAGCTTAATTTGTGAATCATACAGTAGCAAAGTCAAAATTTCTATACCATAAATAGTAATGTCGACAATCGAAGCTGGCGTAATTTAATTTGTAACAATGAAATGTTTTTAAATAATTTTTGAAATTATTATTAAAGAAATACATTTGGTATGAATTATTTTTACCTTCAGGTGTAATAGGATCATTCGAACCTGGTGTTAATTTAACTATTTAGTTTACTTTTTTTTATATATTATTATAACATTGTTTATTAGCGAAGTTATTGATTGTCTTACCATTGAATGCAGGAGCTTGCAAATTTTGCGCTAATTTTTTTTTTTTTTTTTGTTTAATATAAAAATTTGAAATATTGATTAGAGTTACTTATTGATGGGCAATGTTAACAAAGAATTTTGAAATTAGGATTATAAGTTATTTGATGGATAATGTGCAAATTACCCTCTTACCATCTGAATTAGAAGCATTCGAACCTGGAGTTAAATTGTTTATTTCTTTATCTATTTTTTATTGAATATTTTTTTTTTTTTAAATAAAGTTTTTGAAATTAATATCAGAATAATTTATGGAGGTATTAAATTTTACTTACCATTTAACTTCAAATCTGGAACTAATTTATTTTTCAAGAAAATTAATTTGAAATTATTATAAATTTATTGATTGGGCAAGGATATAAATTATCTTACCAGTTGTTGTAGTTTCAGTAGGTACTTTTAAATCTTGCGCTAATTTATTTATTTTTATTATTATTTTTATATTTTACGAAAAAAATTTCGAAATTATTATTACCATTTATTGAAGTTTTCTCATCTTTCAAATCTGAACTGCCGCAGCAGATAAATTTTTTTAGAACGGACATTTGTTCTAAATTGTTTCTAATTTTTTTTTTTTTTATTTATAGTGCTTTTTTATACATAAATTTATTGTCATTTCTTTTTTAGGAACTCATTCATTGTACGACACAGATAGTATGGTTTCATTAACAAAAGGTGCTACTTTAGCACAGAAACACAAATTTTGTTGAATGTCGATCATCAAAGATTACAAAAAGCGATAAGATATTACATTGAATTATTTTGATTTCCGTTTGTAATACAACAATGCGAAAAAAAATATCACTTTGTAATATATATAAATTTCGTATATTATTATTTTATTTGGTGAAAGATATTAATTAATTGCACAGAATTAATTACATAAACAGTCAACTAACAATCATTGTACAGTAGGAAAAGAAATTATTCGCGATTTTTATAATGAATATAAATATCACAAATTGCGAATACTTTCTTTTCCTACTGTACTTCGTTACGTAAATCTGTAAAGTACAACACGGCACAGATTACAATTTTCGCATCATGGTTCCTGATAATCTTGTGGCGAAACATTAGTAATTTTTTAACTATAGATCAGTGTTGGGAAATTGGACAATTTGAAGTTTTGGACATTTGTCCAAAATCCTGTCCAAAATCTGTCCAAAACCAAAACCTAATTTTCATTGGACAGGTTTTGGACAATCACGTGATCATTAGGTAATGTCGCAATCAAATAATCTTGAGTTGATGCGCAGAAATTCAA